ATTGAGGGTATGAAAACCCTAACCAAGAAACTAGGTCACATAGGCCCCGTTAGGCTCCCTGGCTGGGGACCTCGGTATGATGGTCACCGACTGTTAGAGACACTGAGTGATATGGCTGGTTGTCGCAAACTGTCGCGCTTTCGCATCTTGTCAATTTCGAGCAGACTTAGACCACTGAACTGCTCGATTTTCTTTTCGACTCTACCTTCAACTTTCCAGTTCTCTCCTATTTATGGAAATGGGTCACCAAAAGACTGCAACCAAAACCGGCACACGAAGGTGCTTGGTTAATGGTTGTCCAAACTGAAACTGCCGCAATCGGTGTGTTTATGGTTCGGACGTTTTCTCTTGGTTGGTTTTTTTAATCGGGTTTTTTTTAGCCAAATCCCCTAAGTCAAGTGCCAGTTTTTCACCATCCCGGTTACAGCCCCGGGTATTGGCTTTCCGTCCAATCCTCCTATATATATGTATATTATATGTGTGGCACCAGCCAGAAGCCAATAACTGTACAGAGTGTGAATAATCCCAATGTTTTTTAAATCCTGTTTTGTCAACTATAGTTGAGTAAACCTTTGGTATCTTAGAGTATATAGTTTTAAAGTGAATTGAACATCATTAGACGAATCTCATCGTAGCAAAATTTTCTCTACGGGAATTCTGATCGAAACACGGATTGAAGAACTTGCGTTGCAACTCATCTATTTGAATACAATGGACGGATAAGACTTAGAAATCTTCCTTAGCACAGTTTTCTTACAATAATGGTCGGGTCGGTTTTCTGCAATGGCTCGTGGTGATACACAGGTGACAAAGCGAACAGAAAGTTCAGCAAAGCAGCACCGTATCAAAGTACTGATCAGTGGACTGTTTCTACTGTCAAATAAGAACTCCGCCTATTTCATTGTCGCTTCTCTTTAACTTGAGTTTTTCCTTGTTGACTACTGAGGTGTATTTCTCCTGGTCTAGCATGAATGATCGAAAGAAAACCAGTAGTTATCCAGCGGCTTGTCTGGCAAGTTTGGAATTCGGCTTTTGTTCGACGATCATCGCGGGATGCTCAAATCTTCAACTGAAAAGGTAATTCCATCTACAAGGTGGAATGGTGCCGATTGACAATAAGAAAGCAAAAAATAAACGACTGAGTTATATTAGGAGATATTATGTAATTCATTCTTGAATAATCACACTAATATGTGGCTATCTTTTCTACTGTGTTGAGGCGTACGACATCGTATTAAACAGTTGGACTGTTTGGATTCATTTTAATCATTCGTTTTGTGTATTCGTTTACCCTCCCCCTAGGATGATTGTCTAAATTAAGTTTCTAGAATAGCCGTCAAATTTCACTTCTACCACCATATTTTCCTCTGCATTGCATTGTCCCCACGCGCGCCCGTTTCGCTCTTCGTTTATAGCATAGGTGCTTCATCGGTTTGGGTGGATTTCAGCACCATATCAGACTATTTTTCTGTACCGTAATGTGCTATTTTCCCCATATGTTTATCCTCTCTTGCGTCCTCCACTGGCTCTTCCCTCTGCAGTCTCTTCTCCACGTCTAAGACCTCTGTCAAGACCAGATGAACCGATGCAGCAGCCAAATCCGGTTCAGTTACCTCCAGGAAATCCGATCTCCACAGAAGATGTGCAAGCCATCAAAGAGGTGTTTCCATCAATCGCGGATGATACAATCCAGACTCTTTTGGAAGCGCATGGAGGGAATCGTGATGAGGTGACCAGTGAACTAT